CCCCCACCTCCCCATTCCTCAGCTCAATCATAGGCATTGCTACTTTCAGTATGGTAGATATCCATACTTTTTTTACATAACTTATTATTTCTGTTTCATATCGCAGAAATGGAGCTATTAATCTTACTTTTTAAAGGAACTTAAAAAACCAATTTTACGTGAGTGGACGTTTTATAAGAGATATCATATTGACACTTAATTGCAGTTGGATGGAATTCACTGAGGAAACCTTGATTCACCCCTTATTGCTAGCCATTAAAAGCTCTGTTAGTTGGTTTTTTGCCAATCATTTAAAGTCAATTTTTCTTCTACCATTTCATTAATCACTTTTGTGGTTTTCATTTTGGCAAGGTGCAAGGAAACATAATGTCTCAGATGATCAGTATAATATCTACCTTCTTCGTCGGAATCTGTCTTGGTCTTTCACAATCGTTGATAGATACTATGGACATGGATAAACGAGTGCTTCTGAATATTTACCACTTGGAAACATCATCCAATTGTCCAGGTAACTCGGGGCTGTACGATTTTGAGCGAAGTGTAATCAAAGCCATCAACTATGTTCGCTCCTTGGTACCCGCAGGCAATAAGACACGTTTTTTAGCCAATATCCATGATACAAGGATTCCCGGGTGTTTCATACAAGAGGAGGACAGATCTCTTCTCCTTGTTAAGTACCTTAAGGATATCAAGGTAATTTCTTTGTGCTTAAAGTTTAGTCCCCACACGCTTGTGATACAATTGCTTTGGTAAGGCTCAATTACTCTTTAATTAGTGATATTATTATAATCCACGCCCGGACGAAGTTGCGGAGTGGGGATCAGGAATGTGAGTGAAGGCCTTACATATTAAATTTACTTAATGATTAATTCACTTTCCCAAACAGTTATGTTCCACATTTGTCTTAAGGATAATTGTCCAAAGTCCAATTAAATAAACCCTAATACTCATTCTTAAATAGTTGTGACTGTTTAATGTAATTACATATTCGAAGCAAACACGATTATTTATAACCTGATTGATAGGGTCTGTGTTGTGGCACAATGTAGCCCTTCCAACTGAATACCGAGATGGCATTAAGCTGCTCTGTGCCCAGAGTTCCTTGTAAGTAAATCGATACACCTATTAATTTGACAAACATGTAGGAAGGTGTCTTTGTGGCTAGTTTGACAGTGTTAACGAGCAGACTTGTAAAATTAATGTTGAGGAGGGGGGGGGGTCGATATGGTCAAACGTTCGTGCCCACCAAAGTAGGACAAAGCGCACTTTCCGACCATCCATATGACACAATACAAATACGAAGTTCCTTCTTGAGATCACCAAGTTTACCTGTTTTCTACCCAGAAATTAAGAGGAAAAGCTTCCGGATATGCGAATCTGAAGAAATTAGAACACAAGGCCATCGGTATAACAAGCGTATAACCTTGAATAGAAAATCAAATGTTGGTTAAATCATTCCCTGATTTTATTCTCGTCTTTCATTTAACAAACCAATTAACCGTTCCTTGAATGCTTTGGTATTATTTATGTCGTGAAATGCGCCATGTCACGGGTACAAATATCAGCATTTGTAATATACACCCCAGCAAAGCCAAATATAACCTAATGGAATGACCAATTGCATTGATTAAGTCGAGCTACTGGAGGAAGAGCGATAGAAATCGATAATCTTTCCAGAAGCAAACCGTTAAGCTATTCCTCTCGCCAAGGGTAAAGTTCAAAACATTCCACAAGCTAGCAATTTCAGAATGCCGAAAATGAAAAAATTCCAGCAACCACTCCTTGAAAAGAAAGAGTGCACTCCTGATCACTGGTGAACTGGGAATCGTTGGCACAAAACTTCAAATTGTTCAGTTGAATGGTAAGCATTTTTCCCACGAATTCAGTGAAAGAGAACTCAAACGTTAAAAATTGAAGCAGAAGAGTCGTATCCGCCTTTAAATATTCTCATAAGAATTTGAACTTTGTTATTGTTTTCATTAGTGATTGAAATAATAATATATTCTCATTAAATCCAAAGTCCGAAGCATCTCACAATGATGGATATTCTGTTTTTATTGGACCGCCCCACCAATGTGATTGTAATTTGGTGAACGCTTGGATAAGTGGCGGCTCTCCAGAGGAAACCCGTCATCAGCAACTCTACCAAATCTCCTACTTCTGTCCTCTCATCGGGCACAACACTGTGTTTAACATCCATCTGGCTGATAGCACCTCCTCACAGCTCACAACACCAATATCCGCAGTTGCCATAGCACCTTCAAATACAAATATCTTACGTGGCCTTGGTGCTTATCTTATCACCAAGGGCTGGAGAAACATCGCCATATTCTATGAACCACTCTCTTATAAACACGGGAATCTTGTTGATTTGATGCGATCAATTCCAATTCCCTTGATCACTACAAAACTCAAACAATGGGCTCTTATGATTCATCAAAATCAACCAATTTATTTCGGAATGAATTTCACCAGGTTGCTATCAAAGTTTGAGGACAATCTAGATGGTAAGTCATTCAGTTATTAAATTCGTATGAAATCACTTAGCCGTGATAATAATGGCAAATCCAAGCCTCGCGGTCGAATTCCTGATTGGAGCTCAGAATGTGCGCTGTGTGAAGGAGGGCTCAATAGCCATAATTCAGACTAACCCCACAGATATGTTTACTTATGACTCCCTGCGGAATTGGCGAGCAGTCCTATCTGTTGCACCACCCACTCTATCTGCTGGACGATCCCTCATTATTCTGAATGTCCTGCCTTTCGGCACATTGTATGATGACAATTCATACATTTATCAGGAGGTATGTTCTTATTTTGCCTATTTTCGTGATTCATATATGCAGTTTGAACAGTTTTCTGCATCTTTCACTTTGACTTTCATAAGATTCATCGCAATAAACCCCGGGTGGATATATTATTGACCTAGAGACTACAAAGTCTAACTTATTTAAATCTACTCAACTTTCTTTTATTCCTCACCGTAGAACAAAATTATGAAAACAAGAATCATTGATTGGAGAGTTCATTAAGAAATTTAAAAGAATTCCAACTGCCTATGGTATAATTTTTCAAACTTTCTACTGGGAAATTCTATTCACTCTATGCTCATTAGTCTTGATCTTACTGGAATTCAACTTTTATATTATTCATATTTCCAAATCACTTAAGAAGTCTGTTAAATATTCTAAATCGTCGTTTTAAAACCAAGGACACAATAATCATTTGTTCTTCAAAATCGTAATTAAGAGCGAAAACTTTCCTCTTCATCGATCGTAAAGAATTTCACTTATTCTCTCATCTTCTAATCCTCTCATTCTTTCTCAACTTAATTAGCATTCGACATCTCGTTTCCTTAATCACCTTGGGTCTAGTAGGAGAATACTCTATATGGTTCCTTATTCCTTATAGCGGTGTTTCTTATTTTAATGCGGTGATATTACTCAGACGTATACACGGTATACACGGTGTCGCGCTCTCTCATAGAGTCTCATACATCAAGCAAGTAACATCCACTACAGAACATCCACAAACAGTCTCCCACTCTCTCTCTCTCTCTCTCTCTCTCTCTCTCCTTAAGCTTTCTCCCTGTTTCCAATAAATCTCTTCAATCAACAGCGCCTCCCCATTTTAACAATGGCAAAACCCCTTGGTTCTGTTTTATAAATCTCTCACATGTTTTCATAGACGCCTCTCTTTAGGTGTGATTTCTTATTGAAAATTGTTCGACAATGGCCATATTTTGAATACTTTGTAGAGGATTAATATTGCGGTGGCAAATGCAGCGGCAGTGGCTATGCGCTTGGTGCAGATTAACTTGGAAGCTGGTGATGGAAACCTCATCCCGGCCATGGGACTTTTTAATGCTCTAAAGTATCGTAAACTTTTCTACGTACCTACTGTCCCGAATATAACATTCACTTACAAAATTGACAAAGACATAAATATGGAGGGTATATATGAAATGCTCTTCTTTGCACTCACACCAAAAGTCACAGAAAGAACCTTGGCAAGTACGAGTAGTAGTGATTTTAAAGAGATCTTCTATCAAATTGATGTTTTGAAATATCCTCAAATCCATCCCTGGAAATTGGCTGATATGAAATGGCCGGGAGATGGAAAAGGTCCTTCGATACATCGATGTCTTGCAGCTCCATGCGATTTCTGTAGGTATTCGCCTATAACTTTACATTTTTACATTTTCAGTTTCAATGCGTTTTACCTGGGTGATACTTTTCACATCTTTCCTGAACGCTCTAATACTATATATATGCGTTCTTTACATTAGCAGGTAAGAGTACACGAGATGATACTTTCAGGGAACTAATTTGAAGGTGGCTTTCGAGGAAAAGGCGAAGCAGAACATCGCTAAGGCTCCTTTACTTTGAAGAAGATTTCACATTTAAAGCTGACGGCCTGTTACTCCAATGTGAGAATGTGCGTAAATCCAGTTTATTTTATTAATTTTTTATAGATGAATGAAAATGGCTTTAATCATTCGGAGTATACTGGCCATATTTCAATTAACATGCTCCCCACAGAATTCATTTATTTAGACGTAGGCAAACTTGAATCATTTTAATCTTTACCTTTCTGTCCTTTCAATAAACCCATCCAACTTTAAGGAAGATCCGGTGTGCATTAAACAGCTTGGAGTGCCCCGCTTTCCATTGCATAGCAAAACGATTGAGTATTTGGGTAGATTGAGAGAACTTCGACATTTGAATATCAACACTTTTGTGGGATGCTGCTTGATTGCTGACAAGTTCAGCTTCGTTTACGACTTTTGCCAGCGTGGTTCTCTGCAGGTTTGTCATTTTTAATTGATTTTCTATATATAAACAAGATGTTCCAAGCACAAGTCTGGTTTGTCTGTGAGTTGTTACTTGACGCTTACTGCGTTTACCTAATGGCCACTGTTGCTCTTAGTGCTAGATGGAAAGAGTCTAAACGTCTGAAGCTGAAGAGAGCAAATTTATTAAAATGGATTTGGAGTAATTGGAAATAATCGGTCACCTAGTGAGTAAGCAACTACAAAGTGGCGATATGGTATAAGTGGACATTAATTATGATAGACAATTACAGATTATCTAATTTTGAACTCATAGGTCTTCATACACGCAGCACAAGATCAAGCAAACCACTATGAAAGTCCCTTTTCACTACTTTCTGTTATTCCAAGTTTCCCTCGCTCAGTGCTTGCGTCCTTCCACTTTCATCCCGATGCCTTTACTCACTCCCTCCTCCATTCTTCCAGCATTCATCTTTAGTTGTCCAGTGTGCATATTACTATTATGGTCTGTTAGTCTAATAAAGGCCATTAGTTCCAGGAATGACCTTTATTTTATTTTGGTTGTGCTTTTAAGATGGTTTTATAGTGTCACGATTAAGATCACTTTGCACAATTTTCTTCTACTGAAATGTTTTGTAAAGATCAAAACACTTAATTAAATTCAGTATTTCAATGAAATGCTCACCATAAATTTCTAATCTCAATCACTTTCTCCTAAATCTTAAGAAGGAGGTGGGGGTGGGGGTGGGGGGTGGAGGGGAGTAACTCAACAATATCGCTAAGGTGGTTTATAAGTGGTTTTAGCCGAGGCAACAAACTATTGGCGCAATGTGCTTAATGCTTCCACTGCACTGATGACCGCAATAGTAAACATTACAATCGAACATTTCAATTTTTCATCTACATTGAGTACCTAACAATCAACAAATCCTAAGACCTAAAAGAATACAATTAGTAGGCTGTGGGGTTAATAAGGTCGCTGTCAATTTAAGTATTGGAGTTGGCCTTATTGTAATCCATCGAAATGCGATTAAACAAGGTGGAGGGGTATAACTCTTCAAAGTCGATATCTCTCCTATCTCTTAATAATGAGGCGGCAATTACGCTTGACCTCAGTACCTCCAGATACACTTTCAACCTTGCAACTAGTGGAGAATGGGTGAAATTTGATTAAGAAACACAAGCCATCAATAAGCTATCTAAGTTTAGATAATCAATTCTCGAAGCATGAAACAGATATTAGAGATAATAAAAATTAAATGAAACTGAATAACAAACACAGATTATAAACTAACATTTAGACCAAAATTTTGATTTCATTAGTTTGTAATATAATCAGCTGACCGTTAAACGAAATTTCAACTTTTTTTATTTCAGGATATAATACGGAACCAAAGAGTTAATATGGATAACACCTTCAAATTTTCCTTGATAGCCGATCTAATACAGGTATTTTTACCCACATAGGGGGAAAAAAAGCTATCTTAACAACATATGAAGTGATAAATCCTATTTTCAGGGTATGGAATATTTGCATTCTTCGAGTATAAAAGCACATGGATGTCTAAAAGCAACCAACTGCGTAATATCCGCGAGATGGATCTTGAAGGTCACTGGATTTGGGATTCCCACGTTCTATTCCTTGGTGGATTTTCAGCCCAAAATTGAATTGGAGGGTAAGATACGTAGTACTAACAACAAATAAGTAGTCACTTAATCACTAAGTCAGATGTCCTAGGTGAGTGAAATGGAGGACTAGCCACGTCACATCTATTCATTAGCCTAGACGTCTGTTATTCCTTTTCGTTCAGTCGAGACTAGCTGTCAAGACGATAAAAGTCCCCTTTTGGTTTCTGAGACCCCAATCAGACACCCTAGACTTATTGAGCAGTAGTTTCGAAATGTAATTTAGCAAATGGATCAAACGAGAACAGGTTAAAAACCCCGTTGGAAGGAAGTAAATAAGCGTTTACGAAACATGAATTATTACTTGTCAAATACCTCTGTAAATCCACTTGAATTCTGCCTTAAATTAGCTTTTTGATCGCAATCTATTAGATAAACTTTGGATGGCTCCAGAGCTATTACGGGATTGTGCAAATGCTCATAAAGCAACGAGAGCTGGAGATGTCTACTCATTCGCTATCATTTTGCATCAAGTGCTACACCAGTGTGAACCCTATGGACGAAATGACACTCCAGTTGAGGAAATTATCGCAAGAGTAGCTTCAAAAGAATCTCCCCCACTTAGACCAGAAGTAAAACGCCTTAATGAATTAACTTTTCATTGAGACCTTCTAATAGATTAACTGTGATGAATTCTCGCCGGATTTTCTCTCCATTCTGGAGCGATGCATGTGTGAGAATCCCGATCGACGACCCTCATTTAAATACCTTAACGATGAGTTCCAGAGAATGCAGAGCAAAAGGTGGGACACTTTCCTAGGTCTTATCTACTTAACTTGTAGAAAGGTTAACGTAGTGGAGCATATGATTCAGCAATTGGAAAAGTGCTCGTCACATCTCGAAAAACAAGTGGCGGAACGAAAGAAGGAATTGGAAAGTGAAAATAAAAAACAGAGTATATTAATAAGCCGGATGCTCCCCCCGTAAGTTAAAAAGGGAAATTTAATTTTGAACATCTTTTTATGATAGAATTAGTGTTTTCCTTCTTCTTCTTCTTCTTTGTCCCACATAATGAAAACTCAGTTTAGATTTGTTGTAGCCTGAAATAGGGCAAACGGTTGACATAACCAGACTCACGCATTAACCCCCATTCCATCGGGTAATGTAGTTGCAGAACCATAATGTGGTATTTCATTGCGCGTAGCCCTCAAATTTTCCAAATTTCATGCTTCTTCTTTGCATTGCCAAACTAATGTGTACGCCAATTTTTAGAGCATTCAATGCATGTGACTCATGGGGTTTGATCGGCATCTCGGTATATTGGATCAATACATACTTATGTCCCATTTTTAGTTGCTAAAATTTACTGGTTTGTTTATATGATTGATAGCTCTAATTACAGATTGGACCTACATTTAACAAACAATTAGCCCCGCCTAATTCATTACGCACATTTATATGATAATTCACGGAGTGTGCGATCGAATTACCTCCATGTGGCGCACCCTGGTAAATATATACTTATACGAGAAAATGTCTGCAAACCGGTAGTTGACTTCTCACTTCAAACTATCATCATCCCACTGTATGTCATATTTGACTACTTCCACAGTACTCATCTCACCATTTTTCTACCTTTGTGTCTGTCTCTCTTACATCTTTGAAACATTCTCAACTTTTTTCACCTTGATGTTCCTCCTCCCCTCTGTGAAGCCTGAAGTCAACTAAAGGGC